AAGGGTAAACTTAGGAAGTGTTTGAGAGATGAGGTGCAATGCTAAAGTGGTCAGTCTTTCCTCTCCAGCAAGGTCCTACCCCTGTTGCTGAGGCTACCACGGCAGCTGTACAGAATATACTTGCTATTTTAAACCAGTCTTTAGGAAAGGACAGCACAGGTAGCAGTCAGGGACCAAGTTCGGGAAAGGACCTAAGCATGGATCAAGAAATGGCCAGGTCTAACATAAAAAATGTATTATTAACAAACACTATGCATGTAATGTTGTGGTGTTAATGGTTGTACTCGGAGCAATCCCATCTAATATTTGTTATTGGTACATAATGTACAGACCGGTTTATTGACTAAAACATTTTTTGCAGGTCTTTCCCAGGATTTTTTAGGCGGGGTGCAAAGCGAAGTTCATTAAGTTTGAATAAAGCAGCAAAGGTAGCCAAGCACTGGAATCCATTTAATTTTTCAGTTTTTCTACTACACAAAAATTGTGAGACAAAACCGTCACCAGTTCAGGAGCTACAGCACATGCAGGCTGGTCTGGGGAAAAGAGCTCTTGCCATGCCCGAAGACATGACCCATACACAGGTGGTCTGTCTGTCTTTTTCTGGCAGAGCTTCTCATCAAGCATCTATCAGACACATTTGGGAAAAAAAAAATTGGTAACATAGACTTTCATTATAGGTCTCCAACCTGTTTAAAAATACCTATCCAAAGATGATGACAATCACTGGAGGATGGCTTCTCTATAAATCAGCTGGTATTTTTGATTACATTTAAAAAATCACATACAGATGTATAGTTTGAACTTGCTGTGAAATTTATTATAATTTTGTGATTTTTAACAGGTGGACATGGAAGGCGGAATTTATCTGTTGTACCCCCTGAATCTGAGGGATACACAGGAAGTACTATCAGAAGTGCCTCTGGAGCAGGAAAAACCATGCTGTACATTGCTCCTTTACAGGAAGAATTTGACCTAGAACCTCTTCCTGATAATTCCCAGGAGTTTTCACACATGCCAAAGGCTGAATGCAAGAATTGCTTTAAGATTTTGCCTTTACAGATTCTTGCCCTCCATGTAAAGCAATGTAATGCCTCGAAATCTGACAAACCTTCAGATTCTGAGCCAGAGGTAATAATAATTCGGCCTGCTGCTCATAAGTAACTACTTTCTTGATATATGGTTTGCAGCATTTGTGACTTTTATGTTTTTCCATTTTTAGGTAACTGAGGTGGTTCTTTCTTGTGAGAAGAACGTAAGTTGCTTTTCACATCTGGTGTCAAATCTCATTCATACAACTTCAGTTTTCTGTAATTTTAGCTCTATTTTAGACAAAAGAAGGAAAATGCCCTATATGTCAGAAGAATTATCCAGCAATGGAACTGGAACTACATGCCAGTGTTTGTGGGGACTGGGCAAGGTATTCATCTAATTCTCTTTCTGTCTACATGGCATCCTAACTATCATACAACACTCACACTAACTATCCACTTATTGAGACTTGCTTCAATCTTGGGGGACATCATGATTGCTATTAAAATATTTGACGTACATTTCTGATTACACGGTTGCGTACAAGAACATAAGAAATTTACAAACGAGAGGAGGCCATTCGGCCCATCAAGCTTGTTTGGGGAGAACTTATACTCTTTGTGAAGTGTTAAGGTTATTTTATGATATTTTATCTGTTACTTGCAAATCCTTAAATAAACTACGGTTAATTTAAGTGATATTTTCTGTTTAACGCTCATATTTTAAAAAAAAATTCTGCAGTCCACTGTCCTGTCGGGGTGGCAGTCCTGTTGGGTTGGAGGAGCAGCAAAATGAGAAAATTACATGGTACATTTGAAATTTTATCTGCTTTTGAAATGGGGTAAGGTGGATGTAATTAAAATTGCTGTATAAAAATCAACATTTAAAGTGCTTTTCCAGTGTACTGTTAGTCTCAGTCTCTGTAAATCAGTACTAACCCTGCTCCACAGCCAAATAAGAAAGCTTTGCCCTACAGTCAGGACTAGTCCACTTCAAATATGGTTAGAATTTCCTCAGCCTTGACCAAAAATACATGCATGTATAAAAAGTGCACAAGTAATGAATCCTAATTTCACAGTGAGGAGGATGTCCTACGATGGCTGGCGACTCGGGTTGATAAAAGCAAAGAGTTCTGCATCTGTGTGTCTCGAATGAATCTCCTGGAACGCGGACTGATGCTGTGGCAGCGACAGAAGAACAGCTCTCCAGTCAACCTCTTGAAGGTGACGTTCATAGGAGAGGCAGGGATCGACACTGGTGCTTTGCGGAAAGAATTTTTGACAGGTCAGATTAATTTAAATTTTTTAATGACATGCAGATCATCACAAAACTACTTCAAGTGTGTGTTTGTGGTAAGTGTTGATCTTTAATAATATCACAAGGGTGCCTGAAATGTTTTATTTCATAATTTCCTTAGAGATGGTTGCTGGCTTAGAAACTCTGCTTTTCGAGGGAGAGGATGGCAAGGGAAAAATGCCCAAATACTCTTTAAATGACCTTGACAGTGGCATTTTCCGGTAAGTTTCTTATATTGTATCCATCACTTGTAGAAATCGTGCATCCAGACATACTAATTCGGTAGGAATAATGTTAGTAATTAGTATTCTAAGAAAAAGTAATAAGCATTTGTCTTTTCTTTCACTCTCATTCCAGTGTTGCTGGGGAAATTTTTGCTGCAAGTCTTGCACAGGGTGGTCCAGCACCAGCGTTTTTACAAGAATGGTGCTACGATTTCCTTTTGACGGGAGATCTAAAAAACATTACAAGAAACGATGTACATGACATGGAATTTTCATCTTTGATCAAGATGGTACATTGATAATAATACAGTTGTTAAGCAATTACATTGTTAATTACTTAACTTTTAGACAATAGTCAAGTCATTGGTAAATCAATTCACTTAACATTAATTCATGATTAAACTATTCCTTATTTAAATAACAATGGCTACTGTTACTCAGTGATGGTGTAAAACTATATGTTTAGAATGTTTTCTTATTGATTTCCTTCAGGTTGAGGAATCTTCAGATCTGTCATCTTGCACAGAACAGATTATCAGCTGTGGCTATACAGGGCCTATTAACGAAGAAAACAAAGACAAAATAACAAGGTTCATGTTATATTCATGTAATGAAAACTTTGTTTACATTATACATCACTACCAGTTTGTCTGTCTGTCCACTACTTAGCTGCCAGAAAGCTTAAATCTATTGTCTCATGTTTTGTTGAGCACATTAAGGATGTCATTATGAATATTATTGACCCTGTAAATACTGATGTCATTACCCTGACTGTAGACACCTGAATAGATGTTTTTGAGTGTTTTTTGTATTTATTTGACTGATAACTGAGAGCTATGCACACAAATTTTTTTCTATAGAGCAATTCTGCTGCACTCGGCCGCAAGACGAACAGTCATGTTGAGGCAACTTCGTGAGGGACTACAACTTTATGGCCTTATAGATGTCATGGAAAGGAACAGAGAGCTGTGCCGGGGCCTATTTGTGGCTGGTGCTGACCATAATGTAAGCTTTCATTATACCTCATTTGCATGTCTTTGTATAGTAGGCTTGATGTTTTAATAGTGCTGAAATAAATGTGAAATGTAAAATTAGGATCATGTAATGTGAAATTCTCTGAAGGCATGTAATCCTGATATTTTGTTTTCTTTAAAGGTGGATTCTTACTACATTGTGTCACACTTGGCCCCAACAATGAGCGAAACTGGTTCCCAAAGACATGCAAGAGAGACACAAATCCTAAATAACTTCCAGGATTTTCTGCAAGAGCTTGAGGGTATGGCACTAATACAGTCTTTAAAATGTATACAATATAGGAAGGTAAAAGGTATTATCAGAATAAATTGTGTCCTATATTACTTGAACGCATCCTACTGAACATGGTAAATGAAGAGAATATATCCTTTTCCAGTTTTATTAGCAACTTATTATGAAGCATTAGAGTGTGGTTCTGTAAAATCATGTGTTAATGTAGTTTTGAACATTTGCATTCAGCAATTTTGGCTTTCCATTTTGATTTACCTAGACGGAACTGCTGAGGATGCCCTTTCTGTCCCTGAAGTGATGCAGTGGTTGACTGGCCAGTCACACAGGCACCTACTTCTTTCAGAGAGAGAGAACTTTAAAATCACAGTACACTTCGACCACACGTGTATGGAAAGGATGCCAAGCCACACCATTTGTTATCCAGTTGTTAGTGCATGTGCACAGGCCATCACATTTCCCACTGCACATTGTGTGCATTACTCAGATTTCAAAAACAATGTGGCAACAGCAATCAAATGTGGTGCAGGCTTTCACAGGCTGTAAATGTATTAGTTAAGGATTTCAGGTTTTAATGTACAGCTTCTTTACAATTTAACATTTACAACCAATTAAAAACAGTTCTTAATGCAAAACTGTGAAACTGATATTAAATGTAAACTGTCACAGTTGTAGCCTGTTACTAATAAACAATCTGTTATACACAATCCATGACATAAATTTCTTAAAATCTGTATTAAAACAATTCTTGCTGCTCGGGTCTTCCTTCTTATAGTAGTCTTTGCACCAGATTTAGAGTCTGCATATAAAGCTCTTTATGAGGCAAGGGTGAGGTAATGGGATTTATCAATCCTTCAAGTACAGCAAGGTTCTGGTCTGAGAGGGGACATGGGATCTCTGACACCACTACTCCATCCTGTTGGTCAACATCAGTCCAGCCCTCCTGGAATAGATTCTCCAGTGGCCGAAAGACAGTTACATTCACCATAGAAATATTAATTCCTGTACCCCAGGTGGAGAACCTGATCAAGGGTGGGCAATTGTAGGTGCAGGTTTTTGAAAAGTCACCCCAATAAACCTGCTGTAAAAGCTCCTCCCCTAGCTCTGGACACTTATTGGCTTAAGAGGTCACCCAAAAAGCACCCATACAGATTATACATGAATCAAGTTCCCCGTCCCTTATCTAATCCTTGGGTTTTCACAATTTGATAATGAGCACAATCAAACTTGTTTCCCCAAGATAAAATAATATTAACCTTAGTCAAGTCCTTCCAGACACCAACTGACTGATCATATTGCTAACTGCTACAGGCCATTTGAAGTGATATTTAGGGGACACTTGCTTAAAAAGTATTAATGAGTTGAGTGATTTGCAAATTTGGTGATGTACCTCAATATCTGGCTCAGCCACGGGTGTTTGAAGCATTCCAATGTGCCACAGCTGCTCTGGAGATAAGTTGCCTTCAGTTCTGAGAGGGTGCCTGTTCCAGCTACCCATGAAATGCTCCAGGTCAGACTTCAGGCGAGGGAGAAACACATAATGCACACAAAAGAGGTGCATCTCATCGGAGATATCAATCAGGTGTTCCTCTTCCAGTGTGTGCAGTACATCGTAGTATGTACAGGTGACTGCTGACCACACATCACACCCCAATCTCTCTATTCTAAGAATGTATTGGAAGGGGGGGGGGGTTACTATATTGATCAAGCATGCAGACAAGGACAGTAATCATATCAAGTTCTGTACTGATTGGTTTTACCTTTGATTGTGGACGCTTTTGCCAGCAACAAAGCTACTGCGTCCAGTTCGTCGTACAGAAAACATGCACCGGGCAATATCCACATTTTCCACACCCTGGTCACCACGTACTCTAAAATATGTCAAGCAGTCATGATTCATTGTACTGCAGAAGGACCCAAGTGAATCTAAACTGAGGCTATAGTCCATACAACAAAGAAAAATACCTGTTCACAGCATTTATGTACTTCCTACCTTGAGGGCCATGTTTGCAGACACCATCCAAGAAGAACGAGTACGCAGTTGAGGCTTTGTCGTTAGCAGCAGCGTCAAGATATAAAATCTGTGCAAAATGTGTGGCAAAAAAAAAAAAACAAATTAAGTCAAGACAAGACACATTTTCTTGTTTTCAAGACACATTAAAACAAGACTTTGACATACCTTTCTAGACATACCTTTCAGTTTCGCTGCTGGTTTTCAGTCACTCCACCCCGTTTTACGTTTTCACTGGTTTTTCAGTTTCGCTGCTGGCTTTTCAGTCACTCCGCCCCGTTTTACGTTTTCACTGGTTTTTCAGTTTCGCTGCTGGCTTTTCAGTCACTCCGCCCCGTTTTACGTTTTCACTGGTTTTTCAGTTTCGCTGCTGGCTTTCTGGATTTTATGGACCTCACAATTTGATCAAGTTCATTATCAGATATTTTGGAGTAGCATCCCCGGACAGAGAGGCCATGTTCTTTCATCCGCCTATTAAGTGTTCATCTAGAAACCCCATACAAATTGGCTAAATGTTCTAAAGGAAGTGCAGTGGAAAGGATGCTTTCAAGATCATCTCTGTTCATTTCAAGGCGTGGCCGTCCCAGGTTCCCCACAGTGGTAGTTACAATTTCTGACACAATAACTGATGCTCCTTCAGCAGACTGAACAGGTAAGATGTTGATTAATTCCTATAGACTTCTAATAAGTTCTAGCGGGATGCTGAGGTGTTGTGAAGCCATTGTTGCCAAGCAAAGCTCTTGCTGAGCAACATCTAGGATGTAGTCTAAGTCCAACGTTTCATTTCTCATAATTAGATTAAATCTTCTCTGAATCCTTTGCAAGATTTCATCCCGTACTTTCTCCTGCAGCAATAAGCACTGCAAGGTAAGTAAATATTAATGTCAATACAACATGAACAGAAAATGCTAATTCTATCTAAGATTGTACCTTGAATGAAAATGCTCCTAGTGCCCTTTAAAAAATCTCAATTGTCATTACTTTTAGAATTGTTCAAATGAACAGAGTAAGAAAAGACTTCAGGAGCTCTCAGAACTGTTACTTAGGTGTTATGTATTAACAACATCGTTATTATCTGTCACAACAGAACCACAGACTGGCTTACCGGAGACTGCATTGTAGCAGAAGTCTGTTTGGATCCAGCTCAGGTCCACCACTGTTTGATTGCTGTAGAGAGAAAAGACGGAAAGCAATGTATAACTCCACGAAGAAATTCTACGGTCTGACAAACGCCCTTAGACAACAGCGTCATAATAAATTCTATACTAGTGTTTCCAAATTCTTTTTCCACCCACCAGAATTTTATATACCAACTCATACTGATCTAAGTATGGAGTGAATATTAGCATGATGCTTAGCCCAAAAAAA